GGCGCGCGTACTGCAAAAAAAAAAAAAGATACAAATGAACTTATTTACAAAACAGATACCTAGGCATCTTATTCTTTTTTTAAAATTTTTTTTAAATTTTTATGGCTGTGTCGGGTCTTAGTTGTGGCATGCAGGATCTTTGTCAAGGCATGCAGGATCTTTTGCTGCAGCATGCAGGCTCTTCATTGCAGTGCGTGGGCTTCTCTCTAGTTGTGGTGTGCGGGTTTTGTCTTCTGTAGTTGTGGCATGTGGGCTCCAGAGTGCATGAGCTCTGAAGTTTGTGGCACACGGGCTCTCTAGTTGAGGCGCATGAGCTCAGTAGTTGTAGCACGTGGGCATAGTTGCCCCACAGCATGTGGGATCTTAGTTCCCCAACCACGGATTGAACCCGTGTCCCCTGCATTGGAAGGCAGATTCTTTACCACTGGACCACCAGGGAAGTCCCTCTTATTCTTTTTGATGTGATGGTAAATGGGATTGTTTCCTTAATTCTTCATTCTGATACTTCGTTGTTAGTGTATAGAAATGCAGCAGGTTTCTGTATATTAATTGTGTATCCTGCAACTTTACTGAATTCATTGATGAGCTCTAGTCATTTTCTGGTGGCACCTTTAGGATTCTCTATGTATAGTATCATGTCATCTGCAAACAGTGACAATTTTACTTCTTCCTTTCCAATTTGGATTCCTTTTATTTCCTTTTTTTCTCTGATCGCTTGTCTAGGACTTCCAAAACTATGTTGAATAAAAGTGGCGAGAGTGAGCATCCTTGTCTTGTTACTGATCTTAGAGGGAATGCTTTCAGCTTTTTATCATTGAGTATGATGTTAGCTGTGGGTTTGGATGTGTGTTCTGTATCAGCCCTCTGTCCACATTGTGGCTTCCAGGCTGGAATAGCACAAGACAGGAAGCTCTACAACCAGTTCAGGGCAGTTAAGATCATCTAGGTAAGAAAATTATGAGGGCTGGAACTAGGGAGGTGTTTGGGGAGTGTGATAAGTACACAAATTGGAGAGAGATTAAAGGAGTCCAAATTGATGGGACTTGATGAATTAAGGGATATATAGAGGAGAGAAAGGGAACAGTCAGAAAAGACTCCCATTTCTAATTAGGGCAAATGAGTGGATGCTGAAACAGTCACAAAGGAGACAGAAGGAGAGAGAAGTGGGTTTTGGGGAAAACTAAGTTCCTATTTCTATGTGTTGAGCCTGAGGTCTCTGTGGAACATCCTGGAGAAGATGTACGGTTGGCGGTTGATATTCAATGCCGAGGACATGGCAAGCTCTCAATAAATATTTATTGAATGAAAGAACTAAAGGAAAGTAAATATGTAGGGAGAGAGGAAAGGAAAAGAAGGTCTGCAGCTGAGGAGACTGATCTAGGCTTGAGATTTAAAATTTATTCACCTACAGATGGCACTTTAAGCTCTGGACACAGGTGAGATTGTGCAAGGAGAGTATAGATCGAGTAAGGAGAGATGAAGGTTGAAGACAGAAACCCAGAGCACAGACAGTTGAAGGATAGGCAAAGAATGAGTTCTTCAAAGAGAACAAAAAGGGTAGCTAGAGAGGTAGGAAGAAAACCAGGAGAAGAAAGCATTATCTTCAAGAACTGATGGAGCAAGTTTCCTCTTCAGGAGAACGGAGTCAAGAGGAAAAGGAAGACATCTCACGTTTTTGTAAACACCTGCTTTATGCCAGCAACTTTATTTAACCCTTGCCATTTAATTATCCCTCCAATCCTAAGAAGTATGAATTATCTCTATTTTATGGATGAGGAAGTTAGGGTGCGAAGATGTTATGGGGGTAAGGTGAAGGATTAGCCTCGGCATGATGGAAAAGTGCCTGCTCTTCTGAGGCAAGTAGGAAGAGGGCAGAGGAAAAAGCATGAAGGTGGAGAAGGGAAAATCATAGGTGTTCATGTTTTTTTTTTTCTTTTTTTTTTTTTTTTTGCGGTACGCGGGCCTCTCACTGCTGTGGCCTCTCCCGTTGCGCAGCACAGGCTCCGGATGCGCAGGCTCAGCGGCCATGGCTCACGGGCCCAGCCGCTCCGCGGCACGTGGGATCCTCCCGGACCGGGGCACGAACCCACGTCCCCTGCATCGGCAGGCGGACTCTCAACCACTGCGCCACCAGGGAAGCCCATAGGTGTTCATGTTTGAGGACCTATTTCCTTTGTGCCCTCTTTCACTGCTATACCTCACACACCCAGGATTCCAGGAAGGTAGTCACAAAGTGGGAGCTGCCCCAAAGGTGGAGACATTCCCATCCTGTGCCACCTGTACCCAGTACAGACTCTAAAGACCAGCGGCTAGGGGTGGTTTCATTCCAGCTTCCTCTTGGGCTTTGTACATCCATCAGCATTTTTAAAATATTCTACAACTTCATCCACCTTCTATTCTATTCTATATATATATATATATATATATATATATATATTTTTTTTTTTTTTTTTTTTTTTTTTTTTCTCTTTGAGTACTGGCTTTGTGCAAGGAACCATATTGGAAAGAAATACAAAGTTGAGTAAGAGTGCATTTTCTTACTCAACTTTTCGTCCTAGTGAGGGACAGGGGGCCATGGATTGGTGATTCCATTAATTAGGGTTGGTTTTGCTATGAGTGACAGGAAACCAAAGTAACAGTGGATTTGGCAAGCTAGAGGTTTCTTTTTTTTTTTTTTAATAAATTTATTTATTTTCAGCTGCATTGGTTCTTTGTTGCTGTGTGCGGGCTTTCTCTAGTTGCAGCAGGCAGGGGCTACTCTTCGTTGTGGTGCGCGGGCTTCTCATTGCGGTGGCTTCTCATTGCAGAGCACGGGCTCTAGGTGCGCGGGCTTCAGTAGTTGTGGCACGTGAGCTTAGTTGCTCTGCGGCATGTGGGATCTTCCTGGACCAGGGCTCGAATCCTTGTACCCTGCACTGGCAGGCCGATTCCTAACCACTGCGCCACCAGGGAAGTCCAAGATAGAGGTTTCTTTCTCATGTGAAAGTCCGGGGAATGGCAGCTGCTTGATCATGAGACCCAGGCTCCTTATTCTTCCATCTTCAACATGCAGGTTCCACCTCATGGTCCAAGATGATTGCTCCTGCCCCTGCCATCAGGTCAGCATACTAGTTAGTGGGGAGAAGATAAAGGGACAGAGCCCCATTCCAAGCTCACCCTCTTTGAAGGACACCTCCCAGAAGTTGCACATACCACATTCACTCACATCCCATGGAAAGGTGGGAATCTTAGCTTTTTTTTTTCCCCCAAGGTGGACACAGTCCCAGCTAAAAACCATGTGTTCTGTAACTGTAAAAGAAAGGGGAAAAAACGCAGTTTCTGCTGTTGATGCTGAAATAGGTATGCAGATAGCTATAGTGCAAGGCTAAAATGAAAGTGTGACAGTTACACGTACTAGCTCTGTGACATGAGGCAGGTTACTTAACCTTTCTGTGCCTCGGTTTCTTCATTCATAAAATGATGAGGTTAATAGTAGCACCTACCTCTTAGGTTTACCTAAAGGTAACCTAAATTGTTACATATGTATGTAATATGTTTCATATGTACATACATACATAATGGTTACATAAAGTAAGTTGAAAGTCCTTAGAACAGTGCCTGGCACTTAAGTAAGTGCTATATAGTGTTTATTAAAAACAAAGTAAAAATAAGCACAAATGGAAATTTCAAGAATGTACATATCGGTGGGGAAAAATCTGAAAAAATATTTTATGAAGAAATGTAGAGTGTCAGCTCAGTGATGCCTGGGATGGTCTCATTCCTTCCCTGGGCACCGCCAGCACCTGGCACATTGCCTTGCACAGAGTAGATGCTCAAACTACTGGTTTCTGAACGGGCTTGAAAGGTCAGTAGTATTTTGTTAGGTGAGTTGGAGGCAAGGAAAATATTTTAGGTGGAGTTACCCGTATGAACAAAGATAAAAGGTGAAAACTCACTGTATCCAGCACAGTAGCTGGCATGCACAGCACTTGGTATATGTTGACTGACCACTCAATATCAACTAGTTTGGTTTGGCTGAAATCTGTCGGGTCTAGGCAGAAAGACACATCACTTTAGAGAATTTAATATGGGGAATTGTCACACAGGTGATGAAAGTGTAGGCAACCCAGATATTGCAATAGTAGGAAACCTCTATCACCCCTAGTGCCAGGGGGATAATGAGAGGAGACGGTGTTCCCAGAACCCAGAATCCTGGGGTATCCAATGGTGGGAGGTTGCCTGGTGGGAGGTGGGAGATGGCAGAGCTGCAACCTAACCCAAGGCAGAGAGGGAGAGAAATACCCTGACTTCTTGCTTCTCCTCCCCTTGTCTTAGGTCAGTGTCTCACTGCAAAGTCATTTGGCATCTGGGAAATGTCATTTCCTGTAGTCGAGAGCAGAGCAGTGAGAGAAATAGGCAGATGACCAGCACAAATGAAGTTTGGAGCATGAGCGGGGAGTGATGAATATAAACCCCTGGTGGTGTCATTTTAGTCTTGAATGTCAGATCTTGAATGTAGGGGTTTCCTCATCTTTTGTTAGGAAGAGGTAGGCCATAGAAGGTAAAAAAGCAAAAAGGCATCATTAAAACTGTTTTAGGAAGGCTTCCCCAATGGGGAAGATGGAGAACAGGGAATAGTAGCTTCCCTTTGAGTACCTGTCACGTGCTAGGCACGGTGCTAAGCACTTATTCATCTCAGAAAGATGATGTATCTGGTTCTGGATATGTTGAGTTTGAGATGACGTCACGATACATGTATGGGCGTATCACATAGAACAGGAACTGTGCATCTGGAGCAGGGGTGTAGAAGTGTAAGGATGGAGACTTTGGAGCCTTCCGCGGAGAGGTGAGAGCAATGCAGAAGGAGAGGGAGGATGAGACATTCAAGTTAGACAGTATAGCGGAAGAAGCTAAGAGGGTAGGCATTATGGGGGACCAACGAGCAGTGGGCAGAGTAAGAAAACCAGTGAAGGGAAAAAGAATAAAGGGATAGGAGAAGCTGAAAGTTCATCTTCCCGCAGGAGCAAAGGGAAGCTGGAGCTTCAAGAAGGAAAGTCAGGAGTGTCAAATAACATTTCCTTGCCAGAAGAGATGAAGACAGAGGGAAAAGCTATTGAATATAGCAGCTGGATGCATGGAGGAATCGTTTCTCTAGACAGGTGAGGTCACAGAAGGAAAAGTGGGCGTTTCCTTGGCTGGGAGTGGCAGGTGAGAGTATCAGAAAAAGAAAGAACAACAAGACTAGTGGCACATACAAAGACATGTCTGACCAACGGATCCAGATTGATTAGGGAGGAAAATGTATCCTAATGGGAGTGGAGGATTGGGAGAATGAGAGGGGCTGAAATACTTGAGATCATGAGTTTACAGTCTTTGGAGGTGGGGCCCAGGCATCAGTACTTTCGGAGCCACCTCGAACAATTCCAAAGCGCATTCAAGGTTGGGTTAGAGGGAACTGGAGGGAAGGCTAACAGGATAACAGATTGGGGTAGTCAGAGTTCAGTATCTTGGCAGTTTCAAGTAAGTCCATGATGGTGACTGACTGAGGTGGAGTGGAATTGAGGGTAACTGGAATCGATGAGATTGAGCTTGAAGGAAATGCAGGCTCATCTTGATTCAAATGCCTTCGGCTAAATCAGGATAATGATTTTCACTAAAGGAAAAACCAAGAGTCAACCCTAAAGGACTACAGTCAGGTAAAATACGTGAAAAGCGTTTAAGTTGTGATTCATCCAGCAGTCACCAAAGCACAGGTAGAGGCACTGAGCCAGTTGTGTATCTTTTCATCTCACTTTATTTGACATCCACTCCCTCCTGGCAGGTGAGGGCAGCTGACAGTTGAAGGTGGGTAAAGTGGCAGATTTGGCTAGAAGGGCAGATGTTATAGATAAATCGGCCAAGGTTTTGATGAGCTTCACATTACAGAATTAAGCCATGACCTGTTATCATTGTCTCATAGCCAGCCATTTTGGTGTGTGTGTGTACACATATATAAAAATGGGAAAAAATAGGTCTTCCTGATAATACCAAGATATAGAAAACTTTTAACTACAATGTGTACCTTGTTTTTGTTCTCTTTAGTACACTACTCCTGTGAACTTCCCTGGGTTATGGGGGTGGAGTAGATGTAGGAGGGTGGGGCTGAACAAAACTTCACATAAATTTTTTTTCATATAGATGACTGCGTGCACATATTTCTTTCCTACCATTTAAAAAGGTTGAGGAACACCGCTCAAAGTCATTTATAGTATCCCTCACTGCATATGAGAGCTAAAATTCATATGGTAATTGGACTAAATCTAACCATAGTTTTCATATCCATATTTCATTTTTCTTCCCTTAATGAACAAAACCTCAGAACTTCAATACATTGCATGGGGTTTGAGGTCAGATTTTGGTGCCTGAAACCTACCAGTTCCTGCTTTGCAATTCTGCCAAGGAGGTTGTAATCATAAGGAAGATGAGCCAATGGAAAAGAGAGTATACCACTCATGGAACAGCTTTAGAGGAGCAGCCCCGACCGCAGGATTTCTCAGGTAAGCCGAGATTGAATGACATGTTCCTATCATCCCCTGCCATTCACAGAGAAAGCCTGGCTCAAGAAGGCCCCAAGTCTAATTTCCCACCTCGTTTGGAAGAGAGGATGAGAGGCCTGCCCTCTAATAGGGCAAAAGTGACTGACTGCAGATCGTTTCTGACCTGTTAATACAGCAACTTTGTTCATTTGTAAAACTACAGCTCAGTGAGTATCCTGGGCTCACTTCAATCTGGTTAGCAACTCCTCTTCCCTCAGGAGGGGTGACTAGGAAGGAGGCAGGTGGGGAAGAGCAGGACTTCCTAAACACTATGCAGTGCCAAAGTGTGTGGGTCATGTTTTGGCTTTATAGCAATTTCTATGCTATACTACCATTAAACTGAAGATAAATTTCAATTGTCATCATGCTTTTAAAAGAAAATATTACAAGGTGTCAGGCATGTCAGGGAATGTCTTAGGCCTTCCAGATCTGCTCAGCAGCCCACTGAATACCACTGAGCGACCTCATTCAATACCATGTAGAGCAAAAATCACCTAGCTAAGCCCTGACCCACTGAATCATGAGATACAATAAAACAGTGGTTGTTCTGAATCACTGAGTCTTGGGGCAATTCTATGCAGCGATAATTGGAATGAACATACATCATCCACCACCCATCACCTGAACCTAAAATAGTTTTGCCTTTTTCACAGTTGGTGTTCAGTATTTATTGATGACCATTTCCCTTTCAGAACCTCCTCCACTGTCATCTAAAAATTCACATTTCATAGTTTGAGACATTCCAGTTCTTTGATAAAACACTGATCTGCTTAAGACATTTAATTGAAGGTCATGCTACTGACCCTGCTTCTGGGAAGCTATTAGAAATTGAAAGCATTCATTCTTCACTTAAGTTGTGTAACAATGAGACCTGAATTGTACATTCTAGTCAGATGCTTGGGGAGTTCATAAATCATTTTGTTTCAATACTAACTGAACGCTTTCAGTAAGATGTTGTAGGTAGTTATTCTGAACAGTAGTTGTCATTGCTTGAGGGATTGAACTGAATGAGCATCTGCACATATTCCAGAAGTGGTACTGAAAATTTTTTTCATGTGATGTTTTCTTATAATTTGCTATTTCTGAGAGTGGGACCCCTTGAATTTATCCCAGTTGCTCAAAGTTTCATTAAACGTTTCTATACAGTCTTTCTTCCTTTTAAAACCCTGCCATTTATCCTCTGGACAGCCAAGCATGGCCTGTAGTCTGACATCCTTGTTATGAGACCCATGCAACACTTCTTCAGGTCTTAAAAATAGGTATAATGGTGTTTCTCTAAAGCAGCTGTTTTGTTTTTATATTATGGCAGAACACTGAACACAGAGCTGATTTTTGTGTTAGATGCCAGGAAGCTCAGAGCTTGCCTTCATCAACTGTTAGTTTTCTAACTTCTTCCATCTTCATTTTCCTTTCCCTAATTTCCTCACTTTAGAAAATAAAAAAAAAACTAGCTTTGTAGGCTTTTTTTTTTTTTAATAAGCTGTCTTAAAAGCACTTCAGAAATCTTTCAAGACCGTAAGGTATTCTGAAGGCCCTCCTTTCATTAGCACACTACATCAGCACTTTGTACGCTTTACAATGCTTTTCAGTTGAGAAGTCAATGTACTTCTGATAGTCATTAAGCCTTAAAATAGTTCCAGTAAGTGGACTGAGTTTAGTGACAGAAGCCAAAGTCACTAAAACTTTTTCTCAACAGTTGCTTTGCTTAAAAAAACAAGACAAATACATACATTATTCAAGTACAGACTTTTGTAGAAGGCTGGGAGCACTAAGAGACTTCGTTCTGACCTTTACCTAGTTATATATATATATATATATATATTTTTTTTTTTTTTTTGCGGTACGCGGGCCTCTCAGGGTTGTGGTCTCTCCCGTTGCGGAGCACAGGCTCCGGACGCGCAGGCCCAGCGGCCATGGCTCACGGGCCCAGCCGCTCCACGGCATGTGGGATCTTCCCAGACCAGGGCATGAACCCGCGTCCCCTGCATCGGCAGGCGGACTCTCAACCACTGCGCCATCAGGGAAGCCCATATTTTGATACTCAGTTTTGAAGATTTAAAATAAATTTGTGAAGAGCACATTTGAGATGAAGCTACTATGCATCTTCCCAGTTTTAATTCCTTAAAGTAAATGTTAATAGAGATCACTTTAAATGACTTTTAGCTGAAGCATTTATTTCACTGAATAAGGTATTTTACATTCGTTGATAACTCTCTACTTTGTTCCAAGTTACTTTATGTGGCTTACAAAAATACATATAAGATAAAAAAAAAAAGAATCAATGGAAACAAAAAAGGAGCGTGTTAAAATGTAACTATAATACATTTGATCCTTGAACAACACAGGCTTGAACTGGGCAGGTCCACTATACATAAGATTTTTTTTCCAATAAATCCATACTAAAGTATTGATATTACATGATCTGCAAGCAGTTGAACAGTTGGTTCTCAGATGCAAAACTGTGGATACAGAGGGCCTACTGTTAAGGTTTCTGACTTTCAGCTGCATGGGGTTCAGTGCCCCTAACCCCCGTGTTGTTCAAGAGTCAACTGTACTCAAAACACGTACTGAGAGCACCTCTAAGGTGGGTTAGTGAGAGCTGAACTTGGCGCTTAGGTTCAGTTCTCGGTCCTCATCACTGCTTTCCAATCCAGAGCTCTAATGCTGCTCTGTGTGGGAAGGATTAGTTCTCCAATCTTGCTTTCCCTGTAAAATGCACTATAATGTACCAAATATTTGTCATAACTGCAGTTTTGAAGTATCACATAATTCAACCTATTCTAGCATTCATTAGTCAGAAACCAGCATGAAAGTTATGAATAAAGTTGACACACACCTTGAGCCTGAGAAAAAACCGCGTAAGTCCTCAATTGCGCCGAGAAACACCATACAAAAGGATTGACAGCTTTGACTGTTCTTATAGCATAGTAGCGTGAGCTGAAGAAACGTTCTACTAACAATGTCTCCTTCTGGAAGAATGTGTAAAGGGTAAATTATTTCTTGTTTTTATATTTAATTCTCTCATAGCAGGTCCTTATTTTACCCAGAAGGCAAAACTTAATATTCTTGGAATAAAAGCTTTTCTATAAAAGAGAACAGATAGAGATGTTTCACTAACTCCACCTATGAATGTCATTGTTTTATTACTAGGCTGCTTATGATCCCAAGCAGTAAACACAAAATAGATTTCTTATTTACTGAAATCCCAAGAAAGCAGTATGCTACAAAACAGACGTCCCGTGAATAACGACATGAAGGAAACAATAACCCACCAGGAAGCATGAACAGAAATGACCAACACTCCTTGGGTGTCGTGAGTTGCTTTAGCCAGGATGCATATTTCTGCCACTGGAGATGAGATAGGCTGGGCCACTTTACCTCCTGGCCAAATTAAAATTATATTAATACTATTTCACTGGAACGCAACATTGAATCTGGAGAAAATCTATCTTTCCTCCTGTTTCAGTTGCTAAGAAGGAAAATAGCTCTCCTGCTTCTACCTTTAACCCAGACTTTCCAAGTAGTCTATCTTTTAAGTTCTTTTTATAGCTTCATTTAGTTCTTTGGTCACATACTAACATACACATGCTCCAAGAACACTTTTTTTTTTTTTTTTTGCGGTACACAGGCCTCTCACTGTTGTGGCCTCTCCCGTTGCAGAGCACAGGCTCCAGATGCGCAGGCTTAGCGGCCATGGCTCACGGGCCCAGCCGCTCCGCGGCATGTGGGATCTTCCTGGATCAGGGCACGAACCCATGTCCCCTGCATCGGCAGGCAGACTCTCAACCACTGCGCCACCAGGGAAGCCCCAAGAACACTTTTAACATTTCTTTGGTTTCAACTGTGACTGTCATACTGGCAACAAGATCTCTGTATCCCAGCTTCACCAATTTTCTGGACTTGAATGTGCAACTGACAAAAGGGCACCATCTCCCCCCTACACACACATCTCTACATAATAATTACAATATTGCTCACGTATGTTTGATCATATTACTTTAAAATTTTTGAATGTTAGCAAACTTTATATTTTTTAAATGTTTTAAATTTTCTTTAAATAACCAAATGTTGAAAACTTTACAAAAATGTTAAATGACTGAGGTTATTTTCCTTTTTTTCCTCCTCAAAGGGTCTAAGCATGAGTGGATCCTTTGTAGACACCCCTATTTTTATCCCAAGGGGCATGTGATTAATCCTCTCTAAAATCAACTTTTTCCAAAGAGAAATCCCTATATATAAATAGGGCCAGGCTATGTTAATTTGTGTGATGGTTGTTGTCAGTTTTCAAAATATCTTTAGTAATAAATAAAGGGGAGATGTAAAATTTTGTGATTTGCTTGGTGAATCTTAATTGCGAAACTTCTTCTTCTTTCGAAACTTCTTTCCTGCTGCATTTGCTGCCTTTTCAGCCATAATCTCTGAGTACTTCCTTCGGTTATATCTAAAAAGAAAAACCAAACCTTTAAGTTCTAAAGTATGACACACCAAACATTAGAAGTTAATGTAACCTTTTGGTGGGGAGAGGGGTGGCGGCAGCGGGGAGGCACTTCTAAATTTCATTTTTTTTTTATTTTGTATTTTCACTATCTATTCATCACATCTGCACTAAGTTCCACCATGTGTAAGAAGCCATACTAAGTGTTGCGGACAGAGCAGTGAACCAGCCAGCCATAGTAGTCCCTACCCTCAGAGCTTGCAGTCTAGTAAGAAAAAAACGGCAACGGTAGAGAAAGACTTTTGAAAACTTTCAGCCACTAGAGACCCACGCTGTAATTTCTGAGACTGCCATCATGAAGATTACAAAATATAGGTCAATTTTAAATAAGCAAAGACTCAATCACCTTGTACCACACACCTCTGTGGGGAAGGAAACAGACACGCTTGAGAGATAGGAAAATGGGAGGGACTCTGACAGTTTGAACATGGGACTGAAGGGAGAAGAGGTATTAGGACTTGCCCTAATGGACAGAGGGTGATGCCGTTTGGTCATGAGATACAGAACACTGGGAGAGGACCAGAATGTACAGGGAGGATGAGGTCAGTAGACCCCAAGTTAGCTCTTAGAGGGGCCTGTGAGATACCCATTAGATATTCCTGAGGCAGTAGCTGGTTACGGGCTCTGGACTCAGGAGACAACTAGACTAGACATACACATTTGAAAGTCAACAGTATATAGATTAATACAAACTCTGTGGGGATGAGATTTCCAAAGAGAGAGAAGTGAGAAAAGAGCATTGCTTGTTTCTAAAAATTTCACCATAAACCAGACTCATTAAATAGTTTACGTGACACTCAAACTTGTTTTCCATGTCTATATATTACACCAGTTTAAAAAACCTTGATAAACATTTTCACTTTTGCTACTAAATGAATCTAGAAGTCCGGCAGAGGTTTCTATATGAGGTATGCTTTTAAATCTATACTATACACATACCTACTTCAAGGACATTTAAACATACTCAAATTGCCCCATCTCAGGAAAAAAAAACCAACTCCATTCACTAGCTGTGACTCTCTCATCTTGCTCACAACCAAACTTCTTCAAAGATTTCTCCCTTATTTCTTCAGCTCACTCTCAAGTACCTTACAGTCTGCTTTCCTCCCCGTCACTCCCCTGAAAACTCCTTCTGCCAAGGTTACTGTGACCTCCATGTACTAAATCCAGAGTTTTTAGTTCTTACCTCAACTGAGCTCTCAGCAGCACTTATTACTGTTAGCCACTCCCTCCAGCTTATACCCGCCCGTAACGTTCTCTTTCCTTGACTCCCCCCCACCAATTTATTTATTTATTTGGCTGCGTTGGGTCTTCGTTGCTGCGCGCAGGCTTTCTCTAGTTGTGGCGAGCAGGGGCTGCTCTTTGTTGTGGTGTGCAGGCTTCAGTAGTTGTGCCATGTGTAGTAGTTGTGGCGCACAGGCTTAGTTGCTCCGCGGCATGTGGGATCTTCCCAGACCAGGGATCGAACCCGTGTCCCCTGCACTGGCAGGCGGATTCTTAAGCACTGCGCCACCAGGGAAGTCCCTTTCCTTGACTTCTATGACACTGTGCTCTCCTGGTTTTCTTCATGCCTCCCTGGCTATTCTTTCCCAGTCTCCTTTGTGGGCTCATTCTCCTCTAGTCAGCCAAATACTTTCATGCTTCCCTCTAAAGCAGTGGTTCTAAATTGGGAATGCTTATGCCCCACAGGGGCCACTTGAAACTGCTTGAAGACATTTTTGAGTGTCATGAATTGGGGGGGAGGGGAGTGCACTACTGGCATCTAGTGGATAGACACCAGGGAGGCTGTTAAAGATCCTACAATGTACAGGACAGTCCCCCCTGATAATTATTCCATCCAAAAAATATAATAGTGCTGCTGTTGAGAAACTGTGCTAAAGCATTTAAAAATTGTCTTGAATTTAAAGTTTATGCATATTCTAAGGGAAAGCACACATATTATGAAGTGAAACATAAATTCCTTTACCTTCTGAACTCAGAATCGGCCAGCAGTTCCTCCACAATAGTTCTCTTCCTTTGTTTCCTGGGAACTCGTGAATGGTAGAAGTCAGCTGGATTGTCAACAATGGTTCCAATCTATGAATGATTGATTGAAATAAGTCATGCAATACCTGAAGGCCAAGTATCTTTTGTATCTCAGGGTAGCTCTAACAAAGTATATTTATAGAAAGTAATGGAAAACACAGCTTACAATTTACCAATATTAAAATTAGTTTTGCCGTTTCTTAAAGAAAAAAATCACTTACTCAATCTGCACTGGGTCCTACTAATGACATTTCTTCATTAGAGTTTACAGTAAAACCAAAATTCCTTTTATATAAGTGCTAGACAGTAAATTCTTGATGAATAGTCTAAATAGAGGAGGAAAAGTGGGACAGATAGTCTTTTGTTTTAGTTTTCCAATTTAACGAAATTGACACATACATTCTACTATATACCTATTTGATCTCCTATGTTATCATAATTGCTGCCAACTTAGAACCTTCTTACTGACCACTCTGCATCTGTTCGTATGTTCAACCAAGTAAAATTTACAATGTCTACTATGTGCCAGGCACTGTGCTAGGTGTTAGGGAAACAAAGACAAAGAATATCTGGTCCCTGCCAGTGAGGGGGCCAGAATCTTTCTAAAAAATTTTATTTATTTATTTAATTTAATTTTAAAATAATTTTTAAAATTAATTTATTTTTTTTGGCTGCATTGGGTCTTCGTTGCTGCTTGTGGGCTTTCTCTAGTTGTGGCGAGTGGGGACTACTCTTCGTTGCAGCGCACAGGCTTCTCACTGCAGTGGCTTCTCTTGTTGCAGAGCACAGGCTCTAGGTGCGCGGGCTTCAGTAGTTGTGGCTCGCGGGCTCTATAGCACAGGCTCAGTAGTTGTGGCGCACAGGCTGAGTTGGTCGGTGGCATGTGGGATTTTCCCAGCCCAGGGCTTAAACCCATGTCCCCTGCACTGGCAGGCAGATTCTTAACCACTGCACCACCAGGGAAGCCCCCAGAGTCTCAAGGAAGATCCGAAGGTACACAACTAAAAAATTAAAGCATAACCTAATATTATGCTGAACAAAACACTCTAGATGCTCTGAAAACTAAATGGCGAATTCTACCAAATGGAGGTAAAGAAGGTTTTACAAAGGATGACATTTTAGCTTGGATTTGTATGGGTAAAATTTCACCAAGCAAACATGGCAGAGCCAAACACTTGTAAAGTCAGAATGACTAGACCAGTCTGTGCATATCCTGAGAAGACTGAGTAGCTGAGTGTGCTGGAGCTTAAGAGGAGACCATGTGACCAAAAAAGGGGTAGTGAGCTGGTCTGGGTGCACATGGTGAAGGGCTACATTAAAGGGTATAGATATAGACTCTATCCTATAGGTTATAAGAATCACTGAAGGTACCATTGAATATCTTGATTATCACCGAGCAGAGGTGTGTCATGAAACAGATTGCTATTTTTTAAAGGAAAGATGACTGCCTACAATGTAGAGGATGGACCAAAAGGGAGAGCAGACCTGGAGGCAAAGGACTATTACAGTAATCCATGAGTGACAAGAAAGGTAGCCAAGAAGAACGAAATGAACTTGAGAGCTACCAGAGGGTGAATCAATTGGACTTTCATCTGAAAACACTTTGGAAACCAACTTTTATCTTGTTTTCAGAATAAAGAACCTTGAAAAAAAAAAGAGTTTGGTGTACATGAGTCCCTCTTTCCTGCCCCATCCTGCAAGGAGTCTTGTTCTTAGGCTAATAATACTCATATATGGTACACCCATCTTGTAAGTTTCATAATTTTTAGAGAAGAAATTATGAAAAACTAGTTACCGTTTGGAAACCTAGTTACCGTCTGGAACACCATCTTTCTATATGGAAAGCCATTACAAGCTGGTGGCTGTCTGAATTGGGTTCTGGCCATTATTATACGGCCCAAGCAGATGTGCTCTGTAATTATTCATTTAAGAGTAAACAAATCGCTATAGTGCTTTCCACTAAAATCCTCAGAACATCACTACCATTATTCTGTTTGCTTCATACCTGGAAGTACTTGGGGAAGCCGTCTCTATCATTTTTCTTGTAAAACCTTTTTGGGTCCATGCTAGCTCTCATCTTCAGTGCTTTGAGATCATTTTTCAATTCATCTGTCAGTTCTGGAGCTTTCATACCAAACCAGCCATCACCTGCTGTTTTTTGTCGCTCTTGCTGAAATTCAAATTTCAGAAACAATTAGAAAATTCTAATTTTAATAAGCAGTGTATAAACTATACCTCACTCCCCCTAAAATTATAAAGACAATTTCATGAAAAACAAATAAGGTTACTTTACAGGAATGTATATATTATCTCCAGATTCACCTTTCATAAAATGATTAGATCACAAAAAGTGATTTCTCTGATAAATCAGGCACAGCACTGTCAGTTTCTTAAATGAGGGCTCCTTAAAATTTACTTTGTATCTTAGTAAGAACTGCTGACTTGTTGGGAGAGTAACCCACAGCTTCAATTTTCATTGTCTAGAATACCCTACACAAGATGTAATGTATAAAAAACATTTTTACTTCTGGAGCTTTTACATAAACATTAACACTTTTACTGAGTCACCGAGTTGTCTCAGAAAGTTACTCACTCCAGCAAGTCCAGAAATTTCTATTATTTCTAAAATTCAAAAACTTGCTATTTTTTGAAAACTCCTAGCAAGTTACTTGCTTAATTTCATTTTTTGTTCATTCACGCAACAAATATTGGAGTGTTTACCATGTGCCAGGGTGCTCTGGTCATATTAGTGACTACTGGAGCACCATCCTCAAATTTCCTCTTAAGCTCTCTCAATAATTTCTTTATCCTTATTAGTTGAAATGGAAGTAGTCCCCTGTATTTTACTAAAGAAAATACCTTCTGTGCTTTCAGTTGGCAGACTAAATAGGCCAGTGTTTTTAATGGTTACATTCAGTTCCCTACAAAAGCCCACAACGGAGCTCCCGGCCTTCTGTGAACAGTACCCATAAGCCAAGAGGTGTGGTGTGGACGGTGACCTCATATGCTGGCTGCCACTGTTTTTAAGGATGGTAAAAAAGAGCTTTCACTTTGTGAAAATCTATAAGAAACGTTGTTTATGGAACCATATTTTACGGGCTCTTAGATATCTGTAACAATTTTCTTTGGAAACGTATATATTTTAATTGTACAGCCATGTTAGATAAACTGAACATATATAGTCAAACACATTAAACATTCTAAATAATGAGTCACTGTACTCACTCTGCGTTTTTTCTGAAGTTTATACTTTGATTCACTATATGGTGGGACACAGTAGTTTTTTTCAAAATCAGGAGTAATGACGGCTTTCTGCAAAAGCTGCAAAAATATTAAACTGGTTTTAAAATGTCAGAATGTCATTATTGTTTCAACATTATTGCCTTATAAAGGAAACATCTCCCACACTGAAGACTACTCCAGATATATTAACCTTCTATATGGACAAACATACTACTGCAAAGCTTCTCCTGTCCTTAAATTTGTAAATTATATCAAAATAAAAATGCTTTAGAAGACAAACTGAAGGGTTTAGGCAATCTATAAAATCAATATTCATCTCAAATTTCTTCTTCTAATCTGAGTCTGCACACACCAGATACACGTTAATGTGTCCACTTGCATTTCATTGGTTTGCAACCAGCCACCTGCACCAACCAACTGGAAACGAAAGACAACAGGAACAATGCCATAGAGTTCTTGAACTCCCTGGAAAAAAACCTGACTAGGCTTTAATAAGTTCTTCGATGCTGGTAAAACAGCTTTCTGTGAACTGAGGAGACCAGCTAGACTACTGATAAGAAACAGCAGTATAGATTTTGATTAAACAACATATGCTTTTTATGGTATACCAATGAAATTATGCCATCGAGCAAATCTGCTTTTGGCAACCCAACAATATATTAAAGATGCTCTTTCAATGTCAATTCATACAAAGATCAACTTCATTCTTTTTAACAGCTGTTATGCACAATTTTTCTTCTTGATATTTAGTTTAGTAAGTCTCCATTACATTTTCCATGAAACATTGTAAACACCATCTCTGCACACTTGTGATTATTTCTGTAAAACAGATTCCAAAATGTGTCATTTAAATTTTCATAGGGACTACTAAATTGCCTTGCATCCAAGTAGTATAAACTCCTACCAAGAGTTAATCACTACCATTTTCTTTACATAGCCAACACAGGAGATTATCCTTTTGTGTTTTGTCAGTGGTACTTCATGAATGTTTCCCTTTGCTGTTGATCAACTTTTTGTGTATTTATTAGCTATGTATTGTAATATAAGTCTTCTTCTGGGGTATGCCTGTATTTTGGGGGGGGGTTATTTTCATTTTTATATAGCGTTGTGTTCTTATTAATTTGTAGAAATGTATTTTGTATCTTGGTATTAACCTGTGGTCTTTTACTTGTCTTTAAGGTGTTTTTATTTGCCTAAGTTTTAAAATTTTAAGTGGTCAGATCTGTTTATCTTTTCCTAAATGTCTTCTGCATTTCTTGTTACTTGCCTAGGGTTATTAAATACTGTCTTAATACTGTGTATGTGACTAAAAGGAACCTGAGGGTTATTAGTCATTTCCCCAGTATAAGAACTAAAGACAGCTGCTCCTTAACCCTCAAAACAGTTCACAGGAATACAGCAAATATTAATTTGGTCAATAACATTTGAAATTATCAATTTAGAAGTCAATTATCAATTCAGAAATCCTCAATTCAGGTTCAGGACTAGAAGTTGCTGGGTAGCACAGTAGCAGTCTAGACTTTCCTATCAGAGAAGAGAGCATGACATTTATTTAATAGATTATTAAGAACTGGTTGTGTGTCAAGTACTATAGTAGGATTTAGACTGGTTCTCAACTGAGAGCAACTGGCAATATTTGAAGACATTTTGAGGTGGGGGGATGGTGCACTGGTAGAGATGGATGCTACTGGCACCTATGGGGTAGCGGCCAGGGATGCTGCTAAAAAATATCCTACAAGGCACAGGACATTTTCCCACAACAAAGAATTATCCAGTCCAGAAATAAAAGACAGTAAAAAAAACAATGAATACCACATGATCAATAATCACTTAGATCTATACTGGGTGTTGCAGAAGCAGAGAGGAGGTAGGGGGAAGGACTAGGGTCAAAGAATGCTTCCTAAAGGTTGTGATTTATAATCTCTGCATTGGAGGTAGGGGGAAGGACCAGGGTGTGTTCAGGGAACTATAGTAATTTTCAATGGTAAGAACACAGCAGGTGGACAGTCAGAGCTAGAGGAACAGAGGCACCTTGAATGCTCTGAGGAACTACTACAGGACTTAAACAGCATATCATGGTCCGATTTGTATTTTTAGAAAAAGAAATCTAGCAAGACCATGGAGGATGGCTTGAAGAAGAGTAAGGAGGCCACTACAATAGTCTAGATGAAAAACACAACAGATGTCACTAGTCAGTGACAGTGGGGTGGAAAGGAGGGGGCAGAGTAGAAAGTATGTAACAAGCACCGTCCCCTAGGCTTAGTTGTTGAGTGCAAAAGGGAAACAGATTTTCCCTTGCAAAAGGAGGAACTGGTTTAGATAGGGAAGAGAAGGGCAATTAGTGAAGTCAAGTGCCTGAGCACATCTGAATGAACAAACAATAGGCACCTGGATTTAAAGACCTGGGTAGGCTGCAAGGCTAGAAAATACTGATACTAAAGATTTGGAAGTCATTCAAGGTGACAGCTGAAACTGAGGGTTTGGATGAGGATACCTAACCTGTAATTTCTTTCTGAAAAAATATGTACAATTTTATGTCTATGCGCACATGTGCTTTTTTTCCTGGTGGGGTTAGTGGGCACTCGCAGCTTTCAGATTTTCAACACAGTCCAAAGCAGTTAAGAACTAAAAGTATAGCAAGAAAAGAAAAAACACAACCCTTGGGATCATAACTGGTGATTGCAAGAAGAGTAACACTGATCCTATATCACTCTAGTTTTCAAGCCTCATCTTCTATAGCTGGGACTTTATAATAAAAAAGAAGAAATGATTGTCCTGGAAAGAGGGAAAAAAGAAGCACAGTAGGCTAATGTGGTTGCACTGTAGGAAAATTAGTCTCTTACCAAGGACTAATCATTTCTAGAAGTGACTGGTTAGTTCTATGAAAACCAATGGGATGCTTTGTGCAACTTACCTCATTTTTCTTTTTCTCCTTGATCTGTGTTAGGGTTCTCTTGTTCAACTGTAGCTTGTCTGCACTGACATTAATATACAAACCACCCAGCTGCTTAATACTCAGACCAGGATCTATGCTGCTGCTAGTCAACTTCAGACTGAAAGAGAAATGATCACTTTTAAGTGATTAAGAAATGATCTTTAGATCATTTAGTAATTCAAAATGGAAACAATTGAGGCTGTATTTTTATTTAGAAGAAAATTATGGGATGAATAATGAATTAAGCCTTTTGGAAGCACATCAAAATTTATTCCCTAGTTTTTCTTAGAAGAGGATTAAGGCCATATTACATGACAACAGACTTCATAAAGGGATTTTATAAAGAAAGAATTACAGAAAAGAGGAGGAAATACATCTGGCAATTTGCTCAACTTCACATATACGTAGTGAGTTAATATACGTCCACATACTTCCATCTCCAAAGCCAATGAGAAAGACAGAGTCTT